ATCTCCAAGTCCATCCATGTTGTTGCAAGTGGCATTATAAACTGAAAATGTCTTTCCTTAGCCTTCAGGATATTTTTGCTGGATATAGATTTTGGGGGATGACTTTTTTTTTTGTTGTTTCAACTCTCTAAAGATACTGTTTCATATTTTTTCTTGCTTCCATTGTTTCTGATGAGTTTAATATTCATTTGTGTCATTGTTCCATTTCACTGTCTCTTTTCAGGCTTTTCTCTTTCTCTTTGGTTTCCAGCAACATCAGCATATTTTTCTTCGTATTTATTTTTCTTGCAGTTTACTGAGCACTTTCAATCTGTAAATATAATTTTCCCCCAAATAGGAACATTTTTGGTCACTATTTTTCAAAACATTTTATGTTCTTAGCTCTTTCTCTCCTCTCTATATGTCAAATACATGCGTGTTATATCTTGATGTGTTTCCATAAGTCCTTGAGGTCCTGTTAATTTTTTCTTAGTCTTTTTTTCCTGTGTTCTTCCTCTTGGATAATTTCTACTGATTGATAGTCAGGTTTCCTGACTCTTTTCTTCGTCATCTCAATTCTACTGTTAAGCTCATCCAGGATATTTTTAAATTTCAGATATCATATTTATTGGTTCTAGAATTTCTCTTTGATTCTTTTTTATAATTCCTGTTTTTCTATCTTTTCATTCATTTAGGGCATATTTTCCTTTACTTCATTGATCAGAATTACATAATACCTACTTTAAAAATTCTTGTCTGCTAACTTCAGCATCTGGATCACCACCTGAGGGTTTGTCTCTATTGATTGTTTTTCCTCCTGAAAATTACTTGCATTTTTCTCTTTCTTTGTATCTTAAATATATGAATTGTATCCCCAACATTGTGAATTTTAAGTTGCGAAGACTTTTGATTTTGTTGTATTTCTCCAAAGATAGTTATGGTTTTGTTTTCTTTAGTAGGCAATTAATTTATTGGACTCAAATATGAACTCCTGTTTCTTTGGCAGTAGACCAAATTACAGTTCATCCTTAACTGGGTACGTTGCAGTCTGTCCACCTATGCAAATTTAAGGGTTAGGCAGATATTTGGGATGAATGTATACAGAAAATTTATGGCTCCCCTTTCCTCGTGTTCTCCTTTTTAGTATTACATCCTCACTTTCCGGCAGCTGTGTTGCCCTACACTTTGTACTCTATTTCTTAAGTCCAGAAAGTTTTAGCCAGAGTTTTAGTCCTCCCGCACAATGCTGGTCGCTGCTTCTCTTCAAACTTCAAGCCATGAAAAATGGGATATGCACCCCCTGCCACATTCTTCCTTTAGGTATCAACTCCCATCCATAATCTGGCTGCTTTTGTTCATACTCTAGTCTTTTAGATAATTTGTTGTTGTTGTTATTTGTTTTGCTTTTATATTTTTTCCAGATTTTCTTGTTATTATTTGTGGAAGGGTCAGTCTAGGAGGAGCCTATTCAGCCAAACTAAAAGTAGACTACCTGATGGTACTGTTTAAAAATTTGAAAATCCATTCTACATTATTTTTTATGCTAGCAAATAGAATTATGATAGCTTTTATAATAATGATCTGTGTGCTGTATCTTTGCTGAATTTATAGTTCTAGTCGCTTTTTAATAGATTCTTAGTGTATTCTATATACACCATCATTTAGAATATATAGAATGCACCATCATACTATTCCTTAACCTTTTAATGTCTGTAGAATTTTTAATAATGCCCCTTCTTTTATTCCTGATAGTGGTAATTAGTGTCTTCATTCACTTTATCTTGAAGAGTACTGAACTTACATTATCCGTAACAGGCTATTAGGAATGTTGAAAATATTGGACCACACCCTGAGAGAGGGTGTCACTTTGGGCTAGGCAGTTCCCTGTGGCCAAAGGCAACTTTCAGTTAGGGACACAGCTGTGAGCTGTTAGCAGTTAACATTCCCAGCAACTGGGGGGTGGGTGCATTGGTCCAGAAGAAGAGATCTTGGCAGAGAACTGCATTATCCACTTTGGAAGGGAAAGCACATTTTGAGTGTGAGATAAGTTTGAGCAAAAGCAGGGTGTTAAATAGCAAGAGATTGCAGACATGATACCGAATTTGGCTTGATGAGGGCCAAGGAGCAGAGAAGTAAATGTGGAAAGGGTCCAGAACAATGCCCAGCAACTTGGGTTCCCTGGGCCCCCAGGGCCTTGGAAGTTAGAAATGTCTGTCCTAGAAACAGTGAGTTTGCCCAACTAGCGGTAGCTTTTCTTTCTAATGCAGGTGGTCACGGTTAGCTTGTGCTGATTGGCACCTAGACTAATGGAAACGGATATGTAATTTTACTCAGTAAATCCAGAATAAAATCTTTCAAAGCATGGGTCCCTGGTGAAAAATTAATAAAGGGAGACGTTGGTGGTAAAAAGTTGGAGGTTATTGGCTTGGAGCATCAGGTGAAAGCATTTTGGTTTAAAATCAGCAGCAGGAATATACGTCTAGGTTTCTGACCAAGACATTAATTCTAATGTCCTTTCAAATCTGAAGTCCAGAGCTGCAAATATAATTCTGAAAACGTAAATTTGTCGTTACATGTTGTAGAAAGATTGTAAACAAGGAATGCTCTTCTCCTAAAAGAATGAAACACACTTTTTAAAGCTTTCTTGAATTGATATCATTTGAGTATTCACGTGCAATTATAATATTTATGTATTATCCATCCAGAAGTGAATGAGATACATGAATGTAGTTTCTTAACTATCTCCCGAAACTCCAACTACCGTTCCAAATGGAGGTGTGTAGGTCTGTTTTCTCCTGGTGTTTGCTAGGGGCAGAGTCCATTTCTGGTGTCCCAACTTTCCTCTTTTAATTACTCAAAATTCTCAGCCTGCTTGCCTTCAGAGTCTCTTTCTAGGAATGTGTCTGAAACTCAGAAAACAAATACTGCTTAACAAGAGGGCTATCCGTTCCAGATCCATTTGTAGGCTTATTAGGAATCAAAACTCTCAACTTTATGAAAATGTAATTTTAATTTAGCTGGTGAATATGATTTCTTCCAGATGCTCACAAATCTAAGCCCCAAATCTCTCCTCTGCGTCTCCTTTGCCTACTGGCTCCTCTGCCTTGGTCGAGCTGCCTTCAGAATTGCAACATGCAGCAAGAGTCAAACTCACCGTCTTCTCCCTTCTGCATTCCCAGTCTCTCTCCTCCTCCACCTCTCAAGTCTCTTCATCCGCCGTCCATCCAGCTTCAAGTCTCAGTGTCATCCCTGGTTTTCCGTCATCATCATCTCTCATATCCAATCGTTTACCCAGCCGCGATGGTCCTACAGTGAAATCACACAGTAATTTTTCTATTGGGTGTCATGGGTGCTGCCACATCCCTGGAGCACACCCTCGTCACCAAGGCCCAGAGGCTGCATTAGCCTCCTGAGCTGCTTTCATAAAGATTTCTGTTCTTCAGTCTTTCTAGCATGGTGACAAAAAAATTAATTTCCTAAATCATGTCACCCCCGTGCTCTAAGTTCTTTCATGAGGGGTATTTCCCTACAGTCCTCTATCTTCTGGCCCCAACCCATTTCCTAATCTTCTCTTTCACTCTCCTTCCCCTTTATACAGCCCACCTGGTTTTGTCCACCTTCTAAACAGGTCACATGCTTCCCTATTTTGTCTTTGGCCTTCCCCTGTACAAGAATCCCCCACCCCATAGGAGAGGAGGGCTCCACAATTTGCCTGTAAAAGATTTTTCCAATTTTCAGCACTTGGCTAATCTCTTTTTGCCATGACCTTTCTGGCTCTACTGTCTCTCGTCTGAACACCTACAACTCCAGTTGGCTGTCTACTTAGTATTTAAGCATATATTGCTTCATTTTGTGGGTTCCATTTTCTTAGTGTAGAGGGTTAAACATATAATATTAGACATAGCAGTGACTCTGGGTCTCCCTTCAACTGAAGGTGGATCCCAGGCTGATTATTTTCTTTTGTGGAACACATGGGAGAAGCCGAGAAAGGAGGGGAAAACTCTGCCTCCCCAAGGGCTGTGGTTGCAAGGGGAGGCTGCAGAATCCTAGGAGAAAGGGTAGGGGAGGAGAGGAAGAGAACCAGGGTGAAAACAGGTCCAGTAGTTGATCTGGGAGATTTGGCAAGAGTGAAATAGATTTCGAGGGAGAATTTCTGCAGTAGAGGAAGTCTTGCTGTGTACAATGTGGAACAAAATTCCCTTTATACCTCTTCATGACACCTTCAGTAAAGACTTACCTTATTTTTTAACTGACTAGTGTATCAGATGTTTTCTCATGAAGTCAGATTCTATTTCTGTGCTATGGACTGAATGCATCCTGCTCCAATTCATATGTTGATGCCCTAATCCCTAATGTGATTATTTAGAGATGGGGTCCTTGGGAAGTAATTAGAGTCTGATGAGCTCATGAGGGTAGGGTATGCATGATGGGATTAGTGGCTTTGTAAGACAAGGAAGAGCGAGAGATTGCTTGCTGTCATGTGAAGACTCAGAGAAAAGACCATCAGTGGCAAAGCAGGAACATGGCCCTTACCAGGAACTGCATTGGCCAGCGCTTTGATCTTGGATTTCCAGCTTCTGGAACTGTGGGAAGTATTGTCTGTTGCATAAGCCCCCCTGTCTGTGGTGTTTTGTTATGGCAGCATGAACAGACTAATACAGTGTGACACTGTGTTGGGACAGGCTTTCAGGTGAGGACACGAAGGGCTAACTGTGCACGCACATGTTCTCACCTTGTCTCTAAATTCTCTTGGAGCAATATCTTTGACTTTGCAGTATCTCGGACAATGCCCAGCAGTACCGTGAATATAAGAATCCTATTTGCTAACCAGGCTGTTTGTCTTTGGTAATCCTGGACTTTTGTGCCCCTCTTCGCCCAATTCCAATTCCAAGTAAGTCTCCCGGGGAGGTACACAGGTCCCAGTGACTATGCAGAAAGGTACATTAGGGTTTGGGAAGAAAATAAACTGAAAACACACACACACATACTCACGCACACAAAATCATCCTTTAGAACTGTAATTTTTTGTATGTTTTTATAATGTACATGCAAAGTAGAATAGGCAAAAATGGAAACGTCTTGATAATTACAGTATGAAAATGGAAATATCCTTCGAGAGGACGTAGTTCAGGATTCCCATTCCTGGATGAACCTCCGGGAGCCAGTCACTTTAGAAATACAGATTCCAAGGCCCCACCTCTGGCCTCCTGCCCCGGCCTGGGGTGAGTGTTAGGGGCAGGAATGCGAAGAGCAGTAAGCTCTGTGGTTCATCCCGAAGCAGCCCACTCATGGCTCGGTTTCCCACGGAAGTCTAGCCCCCTCATGCTCTTGATAGAGGAAAGTGACTCTTGGAGAAGTAACATGACTTGCTGAGGGCGCAGCCGATGAGTAGCAGAGCCCAGACCCGCATCCCTGCCTCTGGGTCCCAGGATTGTTCTATCCTACGTCAAGTGTGGTGGATTTTCAAGCCACAGGCGTAGTTTCCCAGCATTTCCCAGACTCTCCCTTCTCCCGTCCTGTCACTCTGGATACTTCCTAAGGGCTTATTATCTGTGGAAAGATATCCAACATGAGGTCATTAATATCACTGCTCGCAGAGTCAGGCAGAAACTGAGAAAGTTCAAGCTGCAGCCTGTTATGTTGCACAAATGACTTTGGTTTCCAGATGGAACTCACAGGAAGCAAATTTTAAGCCTCCTAAGTCACGTTGATTGGGATTCGAAAATACAACAGCATGTGAGCTTTCATAGATGTAAGAAACATGAAAGGAGGACCCATAGGTAAGGGGATGCAGGGTGGCCCCGGCAATTAAAATAGAGAATTTAGAGGAAGGAGCAGGTTTAGGGAGTTTCCTGATATGTTAGTTATCTATTTCTGTGGAACAAATTACCTCAAAATGTAGTGGCTTTAAAACACCACACTTTTATTACCTCGTAGTTTCTGTGGGTCACCAGTTGGGCACTGCTTAGCTGGGTGCCCCAGGCTCATTGTCTCTCCCAGCTGCTATCAAGGTGTTGGCTGGCGTTGTGGTCTCAGCTGAAGACTTCCAAGCTCACTCCTGTGGGTGTTAGCAGAATTCAGTTCATCCAAGGCTGTTGGCCTGAGGCCTCCCTCGGGTCCTTGCCACGGGGCCTCTCCTAGGGCAGCTCAGAGCATGGCGGCAGGCTTCCAGCAGCATGAGCAAGGAGAGCGCCAGAAAGGGCAAACAAGACAGAATCCAGAGTCTTCTTGTAATTTAATATGGGAAATGACATCCCCTTACCCCTGCCACTCACTGGGTCCAGCCTGCACTCAAGGGGAGGGGATTACCCAAGGGTGGGAGTTCAAGAGGTGGGGAGCATTGGGGGCCGTCTTGGAGGCTGCCAAGCACGCCTCGGGGAGGACTAGGTGGGGATACCCAGCAGGAACATGGACATCTGAATGTGGATCTCCTGGGAGCTATCTGGGCTAGAGATACAGATCTGGGAGTGAGACGCTTTTTATGAGCAGGAGGTGAAATCATGGGAATAGATAAAGCCAGCCAAGAAGAACTTTTTTTTTAAGGTATCCACTCATTGCTAGTATCCACTAATTGTTAACTTCTCCAAGAAACTTCAGATTGAAAGTAAAAACAAAAACATGTAGAAAATGATGTCACTAACCAAAGCGACTTGTCACTCCTAATGTGGTTAAAGCTTTCAGATTGGCCATGAAAAATCTGGGTTAGGGCATGTGGCACTTCCTGGTATGATTAGAATAGTATTAAGATTCTGAGAAAAGGCTCATTCCCCACAAAAATTCCATAAAGTAGGTGACTAATTGAAACCTGGAAAGTCTCCTGATGAAGAAAAATAGCCCAGTTTGTTCTCCATCAGTTTTGAACTAGAGTTCCGATGGATCTCAGGGTTTCCAAGTCCTGGGTGAGGAAGATTATAAATATTCATACCGTATGATTAATTGTAGTTGTTTAAAGGCCTCCTCCCACAGGCCCACGGTATGCGTCGCCTTCATAAACAGGCAGCCCAGGGCGTGTCACTGAAGCCCTGGAGAGCTAGCAGTGTGTCACAGTGAAGGATGGGGAAACACCGCATAGGTCACCTTTGGCCCATGGTCTTTCCTCCCTCTGTGACTGCCTCATGCTCACTGCTTCTGCCTGGAATCCTCTCCCCAGACTGTTCTAAGCAGCTAAATCCTACCCTCCCTTCAAGGCTCTGCTCAAATCCCATTTCTTCCATTAAGGCTTCCTGACTGGACCACCCCATCCCACCCCACCCCACCCCCTCCCTGGACTCCTTTCTTGATGCCACTTGTTATGGAGATTAATGGCCGGGAGCCATTTTCTGGGCTTGCTTTTTATCTTATTCATCAGGGTTTGACAAACCGTGGCAGGGGGGTGGGGGTGAGGGGGGCAAATCTGCTCCCACTGTCTGTTTTTATATGACCTGCAGGCTAAGAATGGTTACTGTGTTTTTAAGTTGTTGAAAACACTCAAAAGAAGAATAGCGTCTTGTTACCTGTGAAAATTATATTAAATTGAAATTCAATGTCCATAAATGTTTTATTTTGGTCACTAAAATGCTGGTGGAAATTGGCTTGCTTTTGCCTCTCGGCCCACCAAGCCTGAAATATTCAGTATCTCACTTTATGAGAAGTTTGCTGAGCTCTGCTACAGGCACTCAGTTCCTTTCCTCCTGAGAGGGGGTGTCGCCCTCCTGGGAGGACACAGTTTTGACACTTTCTGGTCACTTCTGCTGGGTCTACCATGGCCTGGAGCACAGAGCTGGTGTTCGGTAAATCCTGCTGAATGGAGCTGAGAGAGAATGTGTTTTTAATTTGTGATGGATACAATGTTATGTCCTTTCTTGCTGTCCAGGCCTTTTCTTTATTCCTTTCTGCTGTTGGGCTGGTATCTGTTATGTCTGGTAGACAAAAAAAAGGGAATACCAGGGTGGGTCATAGAACTCATGGAAAACACAAACGAAATGAAGTCTGGGAACCAGGGCTTTTGTTTTGGGTGGAGAGGAACTGTTTGCTTTGGGGGATTGAGGTAATGAAAGTTATTTCAATAACATAATTGAACACTTGTACATGCTTTCTGCCAGAGTACAGCTGGGCAGACCTCACCCAGGGACCCCATCTGCAAAGTGCAAAGGTTAAACACTGAACGAATTCTCCTCCCTGTTCAGCAGAACATGAAACTATATACATACCTTGGTTATGCTATCTAAAATACACCATATGGTCAAAGACTAGAGGGGAACTGGAAAAATACAAATCGTTGTGTTAGGGTAGTAGGATTATGGGAAAATAGTTTAAAAAAACAACAGTTTTCTTTGAGTAGCTAAAATATTTCTACAATTAATCTAAAAATGATTAAGCTGAAAAAAATTCTTTTTAAAAATTTATTTTTATTGAAGTATAGTTGATTTGCAAATTAGGTTAGTTTCAGGTGTACAACATAGTGATTTAATTAAAATGAAAAAAAAATCTGATTCCTTCTCTAGCATGTAAAATTTTTACCTGTTTTTTTTCCCTCTGTTTTTCACCTTTTCCCAACACAAAACCAGAATCTTACATTGAAGTGGGAATTTCTTAGGATCCTCAGTATACAGCCACAGATATGTACAAATTTTCCCTAAGAAATATCTGTTTGTGTCATTTTAAGCCATTCTCCCTTAAACCTTAATCTTTCTAAAAGATTAAGTAGGGGGAAATTACTAACCTGCTACTTAACAGAGTACCTGCATGACCAAGGCTTAATGATAGTTGTCACTGAAAGGCCCTCTTCCAAAGCCCTAGACCTTGTGATTCTTCCAGGCAGAAACGGCATCTCCTCACAGTTGAATCCTCAGCTTCTGACATTATGTCTGGCACATAGTGCTTGGCTCTCTATTAAAATGGTTAAGTGAATAAATTAAATAATACTTTTTTTAAAGGGGGGAAGAGGACATATAGGAAGGTATTCTGCAAGCAAGCAGGCATCTTAATTCTACCTTCAGTTCTTTTTCAAAGCCAAGACCCATTCATTCATGTCACATCCCAAGAGGGAGTGATGGACATGGAAACACAGCCAGGAGATGTGACATACCTGGGCTCCATCACAGGCTGGAGAGGTTTAGGCCTTTCCTTAACACACAGAGTGATAAGGAAGAATGATAAGGAAGGTGAGGTTTTAAAGTTGCCATGATTATCATCATCTTGAAAGGAAGTTAATGCATTCATCTGTTCATTCAACAGATATTCACTGAGCGGCTCTTTTGTACAGGGGATTGTGTTCTGTGTGATGGGGATGTGACTAGGGGCTAGAAACTGAGGCAGAGAAGCAGGGAAATTGACTACAGCAGTTCTCATGACCCCGTCGTTTCTGGACTATCTCAGTGACTGCAGCATGGAATAAATGGAGCTCTCAAATACGGTGAAATGCAGATTCAGATTGCAATGAAGCTCCAGAGATGAAACCTTAGCATAGCAGGGAAGTGTTATGGATACAGGGAGTGGCTCTAGCCCACAGCCGACCAAGATCTTGAGCAAGATTTTTGTGGCAGATGGACGAGACAGCGTGAGGAAATGAAAAGTACCTTTAACTTGTTGTCTAAGGCATGGTTTTGAATCCATCCCCGACTCTAGTTCTAGTTCTGTGAACTTAAGAGTGTTTCTCAGTGTTTCTGAAATGTGAGTTTATTCGTCTATAAAACTGAGACAACTATTTTCCCTCTGATGTTTGTATTAGTTACCTATTCCTGTGTACCCTAATAATTAAGTAGCTTAAAACTACCATGATACTGTGTATTTATTCTGTGGATTCCCTGGGCAATTTTTCTGCTGATCTGCTGGGCTCACACGTATGGCTACATTTAGTTGGTGGCTTGGTGAGGGTCTCAGATTAGCTAAGGCATACTTTTTCATCCTGGACTTCTTCAGGCCATGGCCATTTCAGGGCAACATCTAAGAGGGTGAGGGAGGACACTGCAAGATCTCTTAAGGCCTAGCCTTGGAAGTCACAGTGTCACTTCTACCCTATTGCCATTGGTCAGAGGAGGTCACAAGACCAGCTCAGATTCAAAGGGTTGGGAGAGAGACTCCACTTCTTGATGAAAGATAATAAATATTGAGCCATATTTTTCAATCTCCCATAAAGTGGTGGTGAGGGCTAAATGAGATTATGTATGGGAAAGCATTGTTTTGCTGCTATGCATATGGATGGTTCCTGGTAGCACTGTATACGTGTTGTCCTTTGTAACTGCAAAACTCTACAGTACTCACTCAGTTCAGTTTGATGATGTAGCTGGTTGTATTATGAATGATTCCCAAGTCAGGGTCAGTGAGCCATCTTGTAACCTGATAATACTTCAAGCAATTTTTTTAATTTTGCTTAAATTGTCCAGAGTTAGTTTTCTTGTTGTAGATAGAAAACCCTACTGACAACATGTATTTATTCATGAGCTAGAAAGTGAAGAGAACGGCCTTGAAGCAAAAATATCAGAAGATTCCAACTGATCAAAAACAGCCAACAAACTGGTTGTTTTTTGGTAACATTTTCAGGACACTGTACACATTTCCTTGAATAAGGAATGCAAACTTGGCCTTAAGGATCCATAACCCACCTAGGGAGAATAAGTACAATGATAAAAAATATATATATAGTTCACCATAACAGTATAATAAATATCCCAATTGTCAGTGCCCAAAATGGTGCTTGGCACATAGTAGACACAATGACGTACTACAATTAACAAATTACTAAATGAATGATTCAGGTAGTAAGTGCAATGAAGTCTGAACAAAAGGGAGATGACATGAGAAAAACTCCTCATGAACAAGGAGGAATTTGAGCAGATTCTCTTAGGATGGGTAGAGTTTTTTGAAATGAGGAGAAATAAAGGAATTCTAGCCCCAAGGACTTATTTTGCAAAGTGTGATAAATTTAAAAACAAGTGGCTTCTGAATCACCTGGCATCAAGAAAATCTTATTGCAAAGACATAATTTTCTTTATTGCTACTGAATTTTGTTACTGGTAGCACACTGCTCTAATATATGTTGATTGCTTAGGTAATGGCCATATTGCTTACATATTTAAAAGTGCATTTCTGTTTCAGAAATTAGGTTTTTCCCCTTCTCCTTCCAACACTATGGTTAAGCCATGAGACTTACTGCCCAAAGAGGGGAGTATGTGGCTTAGAGCTCCCACCCAATATGAAGAGGAACTAGAAAGTCTTTCCTCTATTGGAGGAAGGGGAAGGATAAAAGAGAAGGAAGAAAGGACCAAGGCCAGACCTATGCATTTAATGTAAATCTCTCCTTTAGAGGTGAAACCCTGTAAAACAGGTTAGGGTTGGGGTACGAGGTAATAGAAATGTTCAGAAATGCTGAAATGGGGGACTTGCAGGGCTTCAACTCTTTGCTTCGTGGGCAAAAGCCTTAGAAAAGTGCTTTGTTCAGTTGCTGCTGTCCAACACGTCAGTGAGTGGAAGATTCTAAGCAAGAGTACAGTGTCTCATGTGCTGTTGGAGTGTAGAGAAAGAGGCAATTTCCAGATTCCCCAGAGGGTACGGAACAGTCCTGAAAACTGGTGGGCAGGACGAGGCCTTCGTGGGTCTCCAGCAGCCCTGCTTCTCCTGAACCATGGTCCCTCTGCTCAGACTCTTTTCCCAGTCTGAACATGCCCCTTACCTCTCCCTACCTGGGGAGCTTCTAAAAATGCCTGTGTCAAGGCTTCACTCCAGACTATTGAAATCAGAACCTCTGGGGGTTGAGTTCTGGTGTCAGGTTTGTGTTAAGTTCCCAGGTCATACTACTGTATAGCCAGGGTTGAGAACCACTACCCTCGGTAAAGTCTGCGTCTGGACTTCAGTATCGCTTCCTCAGGAAAGCCTTACCTGATCGGTCCCAACCTAGGTCAAGCACCCCTGTTATATATCCTTGAAGCAAGCAACCAGGATTTCTCCCTCTGGGCATTTAAAAGTTGGCTCATCATTTTGTTTCAAGTATGTCTTTCAGGTCTGGGAGTCTGCCTACTAGGTGAGGGGAGAAACATTTCTGCCTCACTCACCCAGGAGAGTGATTCAACATGCACCAGCTGGTACACAACTGGTGTTCAGTAAGTGCATCTCGAACAAAGGATCTCCTTTACTCAACCATGGGTGTGTGATCAAGGCTCCAATTCATGAATCTGCTAGGAGAATTTATGCAGGTGAGAGCTCATACTAGACCACACACTTACAGAGCTATGATCATTAGGCTCGTATTTTTGATAGTTTCAGTTTTCATCTTAGAGCACAGCAGTTCATTAGGCTTATCATCACCATTAAAACCCTGTGTGGTCAACATTATTATTCCCATCTTGCAACTGGAAAGAAAGTAAAGAACTTGCTTAGGTCCCTGTACCCTATTATCTAGGCACAAACAATTGCAAATAAGGAAACCCCCCTTCTACAGGATTCCTGCTTGTGCTGAGCTCTTATTTCTTGCTTGACAATTGGTGGCCACTACACGAGGATTTTCTGGGGGTCTCTAGTTCCAGTGGCCAGGGCCGGGAGTGCAATTTCCTGCCTTCCTAAACCACTATAGGGTACAGGCAACACAGGGCCTTATCCATATAAGGATATCATAAATACTGTATTTCCGGAGTCTCTGTGCCCTGCTTGTCTATAGGCACAATACTCAACAAGGTATTTTATAAAGAAGGGAGAGAGAGGGAGAGAGGGAGGGAGGAAGGGAGGAGAGAAGAAGAGAGAGGGAGGGAGGGAGGAGAGAGGAAGAGAGAGGGAGAGAAAATATGAATGTTTGGGCTTGGGAAGGTGAAATAGGATCGTCCAGGAGAAGCCCAATCTTAGCTATGGACTGGGAAGGAGGACCGTCCCTTCCCCGCCTCCATCCCAAATCCCAGGTTGCAACATTCACAGGCCTCTGAGTCGCAGAATCCCACCCAGATCCTCGGAGCATCTTGGGTTCAGCCTGGGTGGCTTGAATCGAGGCTCAGAAGAGCCGCGCCTCGAGTGTGCTCTCCACGCCA